CTGTGTGAGAGAGGTCATGGACTGGCCCGCATTCAGACAGTCGACCTAGCCATAGTTTAATTAAACCATGGTAATGTGCAATGCTGGAACTGAGCTTTCGTCTCATACCCCACCCCTGTCTTCCATACCAACTCTGTTACCTACTGTATCTACTACGTGACAGAATATCCGGCTCTAAGTATTCTTCAGAAGACACTCATTTTTATCAAGCCACAAGATGAACCACAGTTGTCTGTGACCAGGCCCTGATAACCGTATCAGCACAGCATTTGAAGATCAATGGAAATGCTCCAGTAAGCTTCCCCTGGAGCTTTTCATTGGTGCCTAAAAGGGAACCAGAGAAGTGGTATACAGCCTGCCCGTTCAAATGCAAACATTTGCACAGGGATCCCAAATCTTTTTGGGACTGCAGGAACCTTTGTAATCCTGACACTGGCTCCGGCCACACGTGCCAGAAAACGTGGGGGGGGGAGGCGTGGCTATTTGCGCCATCGCATTCTGATCCGTCATTAGGCGGCACACCGGGGCTTCCTCCATTGGTGCGCACAGCAAAGAGGACAACCCGGGGGAATAGCCATGTGCCGGCGCGATCACACCACGGGAGTCCGTATGCAGCCTGTGGCAAACCATTTGACAGTAGGTTATTTCAGGTACCTTTTAAATGCGCATCTTCGGTGGCACACCATGGGTTGGCCACGGTTGCGCTACGCCTCCTAGATCTTCCAGTGTGATCGTGCCCGGGAAATCCACCCTATTGTGCCTTCTGCGGGGCAAATGCTCCATGTGAACAGGGCCACTGTGTGGTAAACACAGCTACAGAATGGCTGCTACAGAATGGCTGCTACAGAATGGCTGCCACGGCTTCCCGTCAGTCACACAGTGGAGATCCTTGTGCTGTGGTGGCAACACTTTAAAAACCTCCAACAGCCAATCAGAAGCCTTGCTGGGCAAAAGCTCCCCCTGATCCAACCCATTTTTCTAAAAACACTTTGGCGGGTACCAAGAGAGGTGTCAGTGGGCTCTGTGGACCTCTTAACTAGCATATCCAAGACCTTTTTTCTCGTTTTTTTCTCAGGAAGCAGACCAGCCTGCCTCTGTGGCAGCAGGCACTGCTGCTTGAGAAATAGGAGGCCAAAGCCCTTCTGGAAAGGTGCTTTCAGCTTCCAACTCTGCACCTCTAAAATGGGCACCTAATCTGGTTTGGGGGTTATCTGTGGGTTAAAATGCACATAAACCCAGGAGATTGTGATTTGGACGATGGGATCCATTTCCCAACACCAGAAGGTAGAATTCATTACCGGGTTTTGCATATCAAGTTTCATGCAGAGGAGGAAGTGTTTTGTTTCCAAGGAGCAGCTTGGAATGTGTGGGAGAAATAGTGACAGGTGATGATCATTCCACCGACAGGAGCCATGAATGACAGCGGATGTCTGAGCAGCCAAAGGCGCTACCGATCAAAAGCAGAACAGCTCAAGAAGAAAACTCAGCCGTAGCAAAGGAAGATGCTTGATGGAATTCACCCTGTGATCCCCTCCTGAAATGGCCAGGTAAAGCGCGGTCCAAAACACCATTTTCACAGATGACAACAACATTGTTCCAATCAGTGTTGCCTCTAAGCTGAGTTAGTGTGAGCTAGCTCACAGTTTTTTAGCCTCCAGCTCACATATTTTTGTCTTAGCTCAGGAAGGAGGGCTCCAGAGCAAACTAATTTATGCAGCAACCAGATCACTCGGTCACAGGTTTAATGCCAGTAGCTCACAAAGTAGAACTTTTGCTCACAGGACTCCACAGCTTAGAGGGAGCATTGGTTCCAACCTAAACATGTTTGTCTTCTGCCCTTCACTGAAAGCGGTGTAGACTTTCCAATTTCCTGGGGGGGGGGGGCTGGGGCTGGGCCAGAGGCATTGCTTTGCTAGGAGCAAGGGTGGCTCCCGGGGGAGGCTGAGCACCTTCCTGAAAATTTCGGCGGGGACTGAAGCCCCGCCGCCCCCACGAAGATTATGCCTAGAACGGGGGGGGGTCTCCATTTTACCCTCATCCTACTCTGCAGATTAGGCTTGCCTGAGGAAATTGAGGCTGCCAGCTCCGTTTGGGAAAATTCTTGGGAATTTGGGGGGTACAGCCTGTGGTATATCGGTACTGTTGCTTGAAGAACAACTCCCAGAGGCTGAGCTCTTCTGACCATTACTGGAGGAGGAATTAAGAGTTCCTGAGGCTCATTTGTGGCCTGTTCTGTTAGTTGGCTGTTGTGTTCCAATGAACATAGCTCCTGTGACTCCTTTGCCTCCCTAAAGACATAACGGAGCCTGGGGAGGGCAGGGCTTGAGGAGGGGAGGGAGTTCAGCAGTCTACCCTCCACAGCAGCCATTTTCTGCAGGGGAATGATCTTTGTAGCCTGGAGGTCAGTTGTGATTCTGGGAGATCTCCAGGTTCCAACCGGAGGCTGGCAACCCTAGCTCTGGGTCAAGCACCCCACCCCCAAGTTTTTCAGCTGAATGGGGGTTTGAACCTGGGAGTTTGTGATATAAACCAAAAGCTTGAAAAGCTGGGAATAATGGAAGCCCCAATATGTTATTTGGCAGAGAGTTCCACCAGGCCAGGGCCAGCACAGGAAAGGCCCTGTCCCAGATGTCTTTTGGGCCAGGGATCACCAGTCAGTTGTTTTCAGTAGTTATTGACTCCAGCACCATGAATGAGTGGAAGTAGGGGATATCCCTAAGCTGTTGCGCAAGTTCCACTGGGAGTTTTCAGATAAACCGGGTAACCTCCCGGAATAGCCGGGAGACCTCCCGGAATGACTGGGAAGGATTGACTTTTGGGTGGGCAGAATGTCAGCTATGCTGCCATGATGTTTATGAGCAAGAGTGCATCTGCTTGACCTGTGTACCAACTGCTGCGGCATTCCGTCGCTCCTTCTTATCTCTGACCTTGTAGCCTGTCTGTGTAGTGTCTTCCCATCAATTACCCATGGGATTAGTTTAGATTCCCAGCTTTGGCTTTAACGGCCTGGGGCCCCATTCTCCCTCGTGCGGGAGTCAGGCCGATTGGCCTAGGGGTGGGGGTGTGTGCATACGAATACCCTATATCCCATTATGCTTGTAGGAACGTAGCCATTCCTAACAGTGACGATGTTACTGCCTCTATAGCTCTTACAATAAAGTATAACCTTATGATAAGCGTGTACTCCTTTGTTTGGCTGTGGAACCAGCACCATCTGTGTCCCGTGGCTGGGGCAAAAACTGGACTGGAATGGGTCCCATGCTGATGTGTCATCAAGGAAACTCTGGAGTTGCTTGGGTGCCACTCTCTCCATTACCTTTCCCAGAAACGAGGAGTTTGAAACTGAGCAGTAATTGGAAGGATCTGTAGGATCCAAGGATGGCCTTTTCAAGAGCGGTACCACCACAGTCTCTTTCAGCCCTGCTGGACAGACCCCCGACTCCAGGGACAGGTTGATAATGTCCACCAGGGCCCCCCCTATTATTTTGCCACTGGCTTTGACCAGCCACAAGGGACATGGGTCCAAGAGGCATGTGGCTGGCCTAACAGAAGAAGAAAAAGAAGAGATTGGATTTATACCCCACCCTTCATTACCCGAAGGAGTCTCAGAGTGGCTTACAAACTCCTTTCCCTCCCCCTCCCCACAACAAACATACTGTGAGGTAGGTGGGGCTGAGAGAGCTCTTTCCTGGACTGCTCTTGAGAGAACAGCTCCGAGAGTACTTATAAGTGACCCAAGGTCACACCAGCAGCTGCATGTAGAGGAGTTGGGAATCAAACCCAGTTCTTCCAGATTAGAGTCTGCGCTCCTAACCACTACACCAAATTGGCTCTCACCAGCATGCAGGATCCTGTCAACATCGGCATAGGAAAGCTGGCTGAAGTTGTCAAATACCTAATCACCATTTTACAGAGTACCTGAAACAAAAAAGACATCCCTTTCCTGCCCCCTTCCCAGCGTAAAATAAGTGCTGTCAGTACAATGGGAACGTGTTCTCTTGAAAAGCCTGGACTTCTACCATGGGCTCTGTAGCTGTGCAACTGCTTTAAAGCTAGAGGCAACCAAAAATTTAATTTGGAATGTTGTTGCTGGGTGGATATAGATAATGCAGGTTATATCTTAGAGGGGGTTTGATTTGAGAGGCAATTTTTGCAATATGTACATGGAATCCAGTGTCTTATTGCATTGCAATAATACATGTGGCATGGTCATATCTTAGATGAAGGTCAGAGAAAAGGTCTTGGTTTAAAACTTTGGTTCTTTATCAAGATGGATGAAGCACTGGCCCTGCACACTCCATGTCTGCAGCCAGGTCCCTGCCAAGGTCAGGAATGTGTCTCCTTCCCTCTCAGAGGCAATGTGTGGAGAGGCAAGGGGATTCTTGGTCCTAACTGAAGTGGGCGTGTCTGTTCGCACACACGCATGCCTAGCAAAGCTGGGAAAGAAAACTTCACACGGGCTTTTGCTACCAGATGACAGTGTGACATAATTAAAAATGGAAAACCGCCGCCTACTTTGGATATTCTTGACAGCAGGGAGCATTTGATAGTACCTGGCAGTCATTTGACAACCTTTGACAGGTCGATTCTTTGACATCCTAAACTTAGTATAGACATGCTCTGCCTTAGCGAATACCTCCGGCACAGATGACATTTGACTTTTTCATAAATGGACACTTTTGCACACCCAGCTTCTATAGATAATGTTTGCATTCATTGCATACCACTCCTGATTCCTTTAGAGCCCTGGGATTGTTTCAAAACATTTTTGAGGAACCAGCCTGTCATTGTTAGGGAATCAAGATCAAGCGACTGAACAGGACATGCTGTTTTAAACAAGGGAGTTAAAATAAACGGGGGGGGGGGGAGCCCTTCACCCAGTAATGCCACACAGCACAATAGCGAGCTAAATATAGTTCCGGATTAGAGAGCTATTGTTTCCAATCCTTCTATATAAAAACTTGGGCTCTCCAAGTGGAATGCCACTTGACCTTTTGTGTTCAACCAGCCTGTGCTTGTATTTAACCGATGCCAGGACAGCAGACTGCCCCTTGGAGGTGTCTTGTGTTGACATGACAGGCCCTGGTGCGGTATCCTGGCCATGTTCCGGAGACACAAGACCAACGCTTCAGAGCACAAGAGGAATCCTGCCGTTCAGGGGTCTGCCCTGCCAGTGCCCCAAAATGACATGAGGTCTTTCTTCAGCCTCTCTCAACTGGTCCTTTCTGCCGGCCACCTGAGACCCCCACCGGTCCTGAGACATTCAAAGATCACCTACTTCGAAGTGGAGATTCTAGATGCCCAAAGCAAAAAGCAGATCTGCGTCGTGGACAAGGTAAGCAGGTGTGCATTTCTGTGAGTCTGGACTGTGGGATGCGGGGTCCAATTTCAGCACCAGCGGTGTATAAATATGCTCTCAAGGGAAAGCATTTTTCCTTCTGCAAGGTTTTTCATTTACATCAGTTATACGCCCCCCCACCCCAAGTTGCAAAACGCTTGTGACTCATCCCGCTAACTGAATCTGATTTGTGTGTGATGCTCATATTGTACATTATATTTAACTGTATACGTTAGATAAGGCCGATAAGACACGGACAAAAGGTCTGCTTCAGTGCAGCGCTATGACTTTTTAATTGGGCTGAGAATCCAAAATCCTACACTGCGCAGAATGTCCATCCCACCGTCACCTTCCCCTTAGGCTAGTGCAGCTCGTAATGTAGAGTTTCAATATTCTTGGCTGTGGTTTATTCACTAGCATTTTCTCCAAAGCTGTACCTGTCAGTGTCCCCTTGCTGACAGTCAGTATCTGTGGCATATTCGTTATCCATTATTCGCCACCAACATTTGATATCCAATGTCACTGAACAACTAATATTTTATATTATGGTAGTAAGTGGTATTTGTTGACTGGTGGAATTTAATATCTGAGTTTTAGTATCTGATGGGGAACCTACTTTTTTATTTTATATATTTATTATTTGATAGCTAGTATTCAGTTTTAGTAATCAGCAATCTTTATTTAAAATTGATTTACCTAATTCTCAATGTGGCCTCACCTGTGGATACTTAAATCCAGTGAATGGGGGTCATGGACAGATCTCTCTACAAACCTGTAAAAGCCCCAGGTTTACAGAAAAACCTGAAATCTAAATAATAATGATGATGATGGTGATGAGGACGTTAATCCCCCCTCCAATGACAAAATGATCTAGTGTAGTTTTTTTTAAAAATGGTGCCTCTCCCCAGGACTGTTGCTAGGCAACCACAACAGTTTTATTTATTTATTTATTTATTAGATTTGTACCCCGCCCTCCCTGCCAGGGCAGTACTGCCAAGCCCTGGGCTCTCTCAGGAAAAGTGTGTGTGTGTGTGTGTGGGGCTTCACAGGACTGTTTTGGCCTTTGATTCGTCCACCTCAGGCCTGGCAGCAATTGCAGGACTTGCAGGACTTACCTAGGCCTGGCTGCTTGCTACTGTTTAACAGCAGCCACCCTAAGAAAGCCAGTGTGGTCTAGTGGTTAGAGTTTCAGGGTAGGGTCTGGGAAACCCAGGTTCGAATCCCAGCATGGTTGTTGTGTCAAACGTGGTTATTGTGAGGACAAAAAGGAGCTGATTTGGTCCCCACTAGGCTGGCCAGGTTCCTGGTCAAGGTAGGGGATTGTTCGCTTTTGCAAGCTGGCCAGCAGGGGAAGCCCCACCCCCAAACAGACGTCCCCATGCGGCATCAGCAACATGTCGACATCACTTCCACTTCCAGAAGTGACATCATAATGTCGGCGACATCAGGGGCGACACTCTACGTTTGGGGCAAAACTCTATAGTTTGTAGCCATTTCTGCCATAGAGTTTCCCCCCAAAAGTCGTGTTGCGCCGATGTTGCTGACATGATGGCATCACTTCCAGAAGTTACATCAGCACATCGCCAATGTCTCTGCCCCACCGTCAGAACGCCCTCCAACCCACCCAGCCCCCCACCAGCAGAAGGAAGGCACCCCGCTGTGGAGGAAGGCAGGCATGAATGAAGGAAATAACTATAGCTGAAGGGGGGGGGGCGGGCAGATGAAAAGTATCTTGGTTGGGATACGGGAAGGACAGAAAGGAACAGGGAAAGTTGGAGATATGGGGGACACCACGTGAAGGGAAAGAGGAAATAGTGTTGGGATGGGAATACAGGGGGACATGAGTGTCAGGTTCCACAGCCAAACAAAGGAGTACACGCTTAGCATAAGGTTATACTTTATTGTAAGAGCTATAGAGGCAGTAACTTCAGCACTGTTAGGAATGGCTACGTTCCTACAAGCATAATGGGATATAGGGTATTCGTACGCACCCCCACCCCCCACCCCTAGGCCAATCGGCCTGACTCCCATGTGCGGGAGAATGGGACCCCAGGCCGTTAAAGCCAAAGCTGCGAATCGAAACCTATCCCACGGGTAATTGATGGGAAGACGCTACACAGCCAGCCTACAAGGTCAGAGATAATAAAGAACAAAGGAATGCTACAGCAGTTGGTACACAGGTCAAGTAGATGCGCACTTGCCCATAAACATCATGGCAGCATAGCTGACAATGAGGTGCCTTCTGCAAGTCCTTGCAGGTTCCCAGATGCTCAACTCGGCCTGGCTTGGCCAGCACCATGCAACTTGGTCAGAATTTTCCTGGGAAGAGGCTGCCAGGGGGAAGGAAGGAGGGAAAGCTGAAGATGGATCAGATTAAGATACATTCTCTGGTGGGTGGGAAAGGGAGAAGGAAGCAGGAAAAGGGGGGAGGCTATAGGGGGTTGCTAGGGAAAGGAAAGAGGAATGGCATAATGATGAGCACCTCTGAAGGAGAAGAACAGTGCTTTTTGTAGTCTCCGTGACACTCTTAAAGGCTCAATGGCCATTGCATCCATTGTATATTCCTTGGCTTTGTTAAAAACAAAACATTGTACCTTGCCTCTTAGCACATTGCTCCTGAGGTGGCTTCCAACTGTAAGGATGAATGACACTAGCAATAAAATATCAACATTAAAACTAGTGGAAAGGAGCACCACACATTCAACATATTAAAAAGAGCAGAAGTGGAATTTAAAAGCAAATAAATAATAAATAATCTCTGCTTCCATTCCTTGGAGACACCCCTTTGTTAGCTCTTTCCCCCCTCTGTCTTCCTGTTCTCTCTTTTCTTTCTCTCTCTCTCCCCCCCCCCTCGGCCCCTTGGTCCCGGACACCCAGTCAGTCAATACAGGCAGCCGATCTACTTGCCTGGTCATCCAGCCTGCTGCCCACCCCTGCCAACGTGAAGCGACTTGCCAACCTTAGCTTTCTTCCCCACCTGTAAAACGGAGAAATTGTTTTCCAGAAAGTGTTGCAAATGCTGAATCTCTTAATAAGTGTTGTATGTAACTAAATGTGTAGGGTTGTCAATAGGGATGCCAGCCTACAGGTGGGACCTGTGGATCCCCTGGGATTACAGCTCATCTCCAGACTACAGAGATCACCGTTCCCCCCTGGAGAAAACAGATGTCCCTGCCCCCCACTGAGGACCCTGCACTCCCCAGGCTCCACCCCCAAACCTCCAGGACTTGTCCAACCTGTATCTGGAAACCCCACCCACCACCCCCCTGCAGGTGACCAGGGTGGACCTGGCAACACTAGTTGCCAACTTCCTGGTGGGGCCTGGAGATCCATTGCAACTGATCTCCAGACTGCAGAGATCAGTTCCCTTGGAGAAAAAGGCTGCTTTGGAGGGTGCAGCATCACACCCCAGCTGAGCGCCCTCTACTCCCCAAACACTGCCTCCCCCAGGCACAGCCCGCCCCCATCGCCAGCAATTTCCCAGGCTGGGTGAGGCAGGCAGATTACTGATTAGAGCTTGACCGAGATGGTCTGGGGGAGAGACTGTTCTGGGGAAGTTCCGTTTGCCCTTAGGGTATTTCCCAAGGTTAGCACCTTTGTTCACTCTTTGTAGCCACAGGGCCCCTGTCACCTGTGAGCGACCGATTTCAGTGTCTAGTTAGGGCATCCATCAATCCCAGGGATCTCCCCCCCCCTCAAACATCACAGTGCAGAGCAGGTGAAGAGGAAGTCCACACGCCTCAGGCCTGTGTGCCGCAAGGGAAACCAAATCAAACACATTCCTCTTTCGGCTCATGTGAGAGGTCAGGCCGGGGCAGAGTGGCCAAAGGGAAGCACCGGAGAGGCAGGCAGAAGACCCTTTCCAGCCCCACTGGCCCTGTCCCTTTTGGCCTCTGTGCCCAACCCGGTGGAGGGGGGGTTCTGGGGACAGAAATTGTGGCTCACCTGCCTCTGGGGCTACAACCAGTGGCACCCCTCCCCCCTTCCACTCCAGCCAAAGATAAGGAAATTTAAGTTCCACTGTTTTAAAGAATTGACCATAAGAACATAAGAGAAGCCAGTGCTGGATCAGGCCAGTGGCCCCTCCAGTCCAACACTCTGTATCCCACAGTGGCCAAAAATACCAGGTGCCATCAGGAGGTCCAGCAGTGGGGCCAGAACACTAGAAGCCCTCCCACTGTTGCCCCCCCCCCGGCACCAAGAATACAGTGCATCACTTGCCCCAGCCTGAGAGTTCCTGTCTATACCTTGTGGCTAATAGATTGACTTCTGCTCCATATGCTTATCTAATTCCCTCTTGAAGCCGTCCATGCTTGTAGTCGCCACCACCTCCTGTGGCAGTGAATTCCATGTGTTAATCACTCTTTGGGTGAAGAAGTACTTCCTTTTATCCATTCTAACCCAACTGCTCAGCAATTTCATGGAGTGCCCACGAGTTCTTGTATTGTGAGAAAGGGAGAAAAGTACTTCTTCCTCTATCTGCTCTATCCCATGCATAATCTTGTAAAGCTTGATCATGTCACCCCTCAGCCATCATTTCTGCAAGCTAAAGAGCCCCAAGCGTTTTGACCTTTCTTCATATGGGAAGTGTTCCAACCCTTTTATCATTCGAGTTGCCCTTTTCTGCACTTTTTCCAAAGCTAGAATATCCTTTTTGAGGTGTAGTGACCAGAACTCTACACAGTACCACAAATAACACTGCACCATTGATTTATACGGGGGCATTGTGATACTGGGTGATTTGTTTTCTATTCCCTTCCTAATAATCCCCAGCATAGTGTTGGCCTTTTTTATTGCAGTCGCACACTGTCTAGACATTTTTAGTGACTTATCTACTATGACTCCAAGATCTCTCTCTTGATCAGTCTCTGCCAGTTCAGACCCCATCAACGTGTATTTATAGTTAGGATTTTTGGCTCCAATGTGCATCACCTTGCACTTGGCCACATTGAACCCCATTTGCCATGTTGACGCCCACTCGCCCAACTTTGACAGATCCCTTTGGAGTGCCTCACAATCCTCACTGGTTTTCACCACCCTGAACAACTTCGTATCATCCGCAAATTTAGCCACTTCACTGCTTACTCCCAACTCCAAATAATTAACGAACAAGTTAAAAAGCAGTGGACCAAGTACTGATCCCTGCGGTACCCCACTGCTTACCACCCTCCACTGAGAAAATTGCCCACCTACACTCACTCTCTGTTTTCTATGAACTAGCCAGTTTTTGATCCATAAAAGAACTTGTCCTTCTATCCCATGATTTTTGAGCTTACTTAGGAGCCTTTGATGAGGAACTTTATCAAAAGCTTTCTGGAAGTCAAGGTAAACAATATCTATTGGATCCCCCTTGTCCACATGTTTGTTCACCCCCTCAAAGAACATTAACAGGTTAGTGAGACAAGATCTTCCCTTACAGAACCCATGCTGAGTCTGCCTCAATAGGTTTTGTTCATCTATGTGCCTACTAATTCTTTCCTTAATAATGGTTTCCACCAATTTACCCGGTATCGACGTCAGACTGACAGGCCTGTAATTTCCCACATTAGCTGACATGTGGGCGTGGCTTGCCAAGCCCGGACTGTTTAAAAAGGAGCCTGTTGCTCCATAGTTTGTCTCATTCTGGTTCTTCTTTGTGTTCAAATAAAGCTGTTATCACTGTTCACCTGCTGTCTCGAGTCTCGTATCTAACACCCTGAAAGAACACTAACAGGTTCGTGAGACAAGATCTTCCCTTACAGAACTCATGCTGAGTCTGCATGAATAGTTTTTGTTTATCAATGTGCCTGCTAATTCTTTCCTTAATAGTTTCCACCAACTTACCTGGTACTGATGTCAGACTGACTGGCCTGTAATTTCCCGGATCTCCTCTGGAACCCTTTTTAAAGATGGGAGTGACATTAGCTACCTTCCAGTCCTCAGGAATGGAGGCAGATTTTAAGGAAAGATTACATATTTCTGTCAGGAGATCCACAAGTTCACATTTGAGTTCTTTCAGAGCTCTTGGATGTATGCCATCTGGGCCTGGTGATTTATCAGTTTTTGTCTATCAGTCATAGGACTTCCTCACTTGTCACCTCAATCTGCATTCAGCTTCTCAGCCATTTCCCTATCACCCTTGAGTACTCCTTTTACCCCTTGGTCATCCAAGGGCCCCGCTGCCTTCCTGGCTAGTTTCCTGCTTCTAATGTATTTGAAAAAAGTTTTATTGTTGGTCTTTATGTTTTTTGCAATATGCTCCTCATATTTCCTTTTTGCCTGCCTGATCACAGACTTGCATTTTATTTGCCACAGTCTGTGTTCCCTTTTTATCAACTTCACTGAGACTAGCTTTCCACCACTTAAAGGAATCCTTCTTACCTTTTACAGCTTCCATTACTTTGCTTGTTAACCATGCAGGCTTTTTTCTATACCTATTTGTGTCTGAGCTTTTACGACTGTAGTTTTAAATAGTCTCCAAGCTTCCCCAATGGTTTTGACCCTTTCTACTTTTCCTTTCAGTTTCCTCCCCACATGTCCCCTCATATCAGAGAAGTTACCCCTTTTAAAGTTAAAGGGGGTTGTGTCAGTCTTTTTGGGCAACTCCCTATTATACAAGTATCAAACTTAATAACATTATGGTCACTGTTCCCAAGTGGTGCAAACACTTTTACATCTCTCACCAGGTCTTGGGTGTTACTTAGGACCAAATCCAGGATTGCCTCTCCCCTGGTACGTTCCGTGACCATCTGCTCCATAGCACAGTCAATCTCTTTTTCCCGACTTGAACACATATTTACCCAATCTATGTGTGGGTAGTTAAAATCACCTATTACGACACAGTTATTTCGTCTAGCCACTATCTTTAATTCATTCATAATTTTATAAATCCTTCTCTATCTTTTGATCTGGTGGGCGATAACATACTCCCAGTGTTAAGCTTCCTTTTGGGCCCACTATTTCAACCCATAGCATTTCCAGAAGCGAATCCAATTCTCTTACCCTTTGAGTCTTACTGGGCTGTATACCCTCTCTGACATACAGAGCCACCCCACCTCCAACCCTCCCCCCCCAATCCTTCCGATATAATTTATAACCAGGAATCACCGTATCCCACTGATTTTCCTCATCCCACCAAGTTTCTGAAATACCCACAATGTCTATCCCCCCCCCAACACCAAGCACTCCAACTCCCTGATTTTACTTCGGACACTTCTAGCATTTGTGTATAAACATCTATAGTTTCCCATCCATGTGAAGCCCGCAACCTCCCTCTTGGTGCCTTGAGACCTTTCCAGGCAGTCCATATCATTAGCCACAGTCTCAGTGGGCAATTCTAATCCATTTCCTTGTAGAAAAGTAACAGCTACCCCTTCATCTCTTTGAGATGAGCCATCCCAAACCACGTGTTGTTGTTGTTGTTATTTACTTCATTTATACCCTGCTGTTCTCCCCTGTGAGGAGGGGCTGACATTCTCCTCTCCTCCATTTCATCCTCATCACAGCCCTGAGGCTGTGCGACTGGCCCAAGGCTGCCTAGGCAGAAGAGGGGATTCGAACCTGGGTCTCTTGGCTCCCATTCCAACACCCTGACCTCTGCACTGGCTGAAAGCTTTCATTGAAATAAATGGGACACAGAAGTGCTTAACTGTCACTGAAGCATGCCCATGGAGCACGAAGCGGCACAGGTTCATTCTTTTTCCCAGCCTCAAAACTGTAATGTTGGTGAACAGGAAAAGCAAACATTGTTTTCTTTTTTCCCCCTTCCTCCTTTCAGATACCGCCTTCATCTACTCTTCTGGATGTCAAACACAAGTTTCACAAAGTATGTAAGTACCTGGCTGTTTGCAGTTGGTAAATAAGTTCATTCAAGTCATCAGAAAAGACTGGGTTTCCTTTGAAGTGCAGTGAATACGGAAAGGCTGAAATGCTTTTTGTGATCTGAGGCAGATCTTGAGTGCTAGAAATACAGTAAATAATTTTGAGTCAGTAAAGAGTGAAATAAGTCTCACTGTGGACATCACACTTTGGCTGCAGTCACATTGGAGGCTTAGCATGATCTGGCAGTGCCTCTATTTGTGGCAGTTTAAATCATCGTGGATAGGGGTAACCAGATAGACACAGCCCATGGTCAGCTGTTCAGAGTTGGCAACCCTAAGTATGTATCCAACCTTGATTAAAACAGCCATAGACCAGCAGAAGTCACAGTCTGCATAGATCACAATAAAACAGAGCTATGATACAGTGGGTAAACAATAATTAAATATGTACAATTATTAATAAAATTCTTCAATATGCAAAACTTTCTCATGGCCTTTGCAAGCTGCCACACAAAAGCTTCTCATTACGAGCTGAAGCCTGAGAGTTTTATCTGCCAATCACATCCTGGCATGCACCGAATCTGAGTGACCAGGGTGTCTGCCCAGCAAAGGGAGAAGGAACTGAGAGTGAATCTCTTGATAAAAAGGGCAGCAAAGTGACACCCTGCTCTATAGTTTCAGTCTCCCCTGAACTACAGGGGCAAAGCCTGTCTGCCTTGGGAGGCTTTTTGCATCACCCCTCCAGAACCACAGAAGGGAGTGCAGGCCATCTGGCAAGGGGAAATGCCTTCCGCTGACAAGGAACCTCCAGTTGGGAGAGATTAGCGGCCGGGGCGACCACATATCTAGAGCTCTCTGAGGACAGGTAAGTCAGTGACCTCTCTATGTCTGACTGCCGCCCAGTGTCCAACTGCTTTTGCTCTAAAATTTGTTTCACCTGGGCATACCCCATATCCAAAACAGAATGAGAGGAGAAGCTCGGACTCACCAGCTTGTTATTTCCTGCCTTTAGCCATGAAGATTGATGACTGTCACAGAGAATCAAGGGAGTTAAGCCCTGGGGATTATAGTTTAGTTTTAGCCAAAGGTTAACAGAGGCAAGACACACCCTGGCCCCAACTTTACCATACCAGTTTCCAGGTGCAAATTTGCATTTGAGACACAAAGGAGCATTTAAAGGGCTGCTCTCAAAAATTTCAATTGCACTCACTCCAAAGGTGCAAAGCAGGAAGAAGGTGGCCCGGGCATTGTCCTCTATAAAAGCTGAGCCAGTATTTTGGCCCAGAATAGTTTAAGGGCAGCTGGAATATATTGTCCACCCTTAGTACGTAAAATTTTAATTATATTGTGGGCAGGTTTTGGGGCAACATCGCCTATGTTATCACAGTACTTAAACCTTTGTTCCCCATCGTTCCCTATGGCTCAAGATAACTTTCAGCAAATAATTAGGGTATCAAACAAAAAAACCTCACATACACCCCCAAAGCCTAATGCAATGCAAAAAAAAAAAGACCTGCCTCTTAAAGGACCTGGTGAATAAAACAGCCATGCAATGCCTCCTAAAAGCTCCCAAGTGCAGTACCCCCTCACCTCCTCGGGGAGCCCAATCTGTAAAGTGGGAACAGCCACAGGAAAAGTGCAGGCCATAGTTGATGCCAGGTGGGACGCTCCGAATGAAAGAACACCTGGAAGATAGCTGGTGCACGGGGACATCCGGGGAGAGACGGGCCTTGAGATAGGTGGATTTAGGGTTAAGAACATAAGAACATAAGAGACGCCAATGTTGGATCAGGCCAAAGGCCCATCCAGTCCAACACTCTGTGTCACACAGTGGCCAGAAATACCAGTGCCATCAGGAGGTCCAGCAGTGGGGCCAGGACATTAGAAGCCCTCCCACTGTTGACCCCCCCCCCCAAGCACCAAGAAGACAGAGCATCACTTGCCCCAGAGCCCCTATCTATACCTTGTGGCTAATAGCCACTGATGGACCTCTGCTCCGTATGCCTATCTAATTCCCTCTTGAAGCCGTCCATGCTTGTAGCCGCCACCACCTCCTGTGGCAGTGAATTCCATGTGTTAATCACTCTTTGGGTGAAGAAGTACTTCCTTTTATCCGTTCTAACCCGACCGCTCTGCAGTTTCATGGAGTGCCCACGAGTTCTTGTATTGTGAGAAAGGGAGAAAAGTACCTCTTTCTTTACCTGCTCTTTCCCATGCATAATCTTATAAACCTCGATCATGTCACCCCTCAGTCGTCTTTTCTCCAAGCCAAAGAGACCTAAGCGCCTTAACCTTTCCTCATAGGGAAAGTGTTCCAACCCTTTTATCATTCGAGTTGCCCTTTTCTGCACTTTTTCCAAAGCTATAATATCCTTTTTAAGGTGTGGTGCCCAGAACTGCACACAGTATTCCAAATGAGGTCTCACCATTGATTTATATAGGGGCATTATTATATTGGCTGATCTGTTTTCAATACCCTTCCTAATAATCCCCAGCATAGCATTGGCCTTCTTTATTGCAGTCACACACTGTCTCGACATTGCTACCTCTGGGCTGGGAAACATCTGGAGATTTTGGGGGTGGAGCCTAGGAAGGGCAGGGACCTCAGGGGGCACAAGGCCAAACAGCCCACCCTGCAAAGCAGCCGTTTTCTCCAGGAGAACTGATCTTGGTTGTCTGGCGATCAAGTGCCATGTGGAGGTTGACAATTCTATGTGGATCCCGGGCCTTTCAGCCACTCATAACCAGCTCCTTGCTCCTTACATTGAACCGGCAACCCGTGAAGCTGTTTTCAAAGAAGCTCAGTGTTTTTCTGTCAGCCAGCAGCACCTCACAATAAACTTTAGTTTATCCCCTCAAGTCAATAGGACTTAAACATGCTTAATACTGGCTGGTCATTCTCTCTCTCTCTCTCTCTCTTTGAGAATGGGCCTGCCATCCAACCCTCTCCTCCCCAAATGCCTCCAGATGTCATAGCCCTTTTCTGAGGCCCTCTCCCACTCCCCAAGGCCCTGAAAGACAGGGGTGCCTTATCTTCTTGCCGTCATTCCAAAGTGTTCTTGAGACTTGTCAGACAACAAAATTCTCTCCCATCCACCGGAAATGACATTTGGGACCCATCTATTTCAGGGCTGTACAACTTAGTCACCAAATGTCTTGATGTGTCTCAGTTTCACATAATTTATCTCGCCCAGTTGATAAGTAAGACAGCAAGTGAACAATTACAATTGGAGTAGCTACTCTTTCTTCCTCACATTGGATCACCACTTCATTCCTGAAGTTTTGCAAACCTTCCTTTGTTTTATTTAAAACACTTTTATCCCACCTTTCTGCCAAATTAGGGGTCTCAAGGCAGGGAAGAGCTTAAAATAAAATAATTTTTTTAAAATAAAAATATTTTTTTTATTTAAAACATTTCACGCCACCATCCCACCCGATCAGGATCCCTCAGGTGGCACCCACAAAAACATTAAAACATTTGAACAATTAAAATCGACATTTAAAATGATAGAACAATACAATAAAAACACCAAAACCAGACTCAGGAAGGAGGTCCAATAACCGTTATTGGGTGTACAAAACAAAAAGCAACCCCCAAACCCTGACTTAAAAGCCAAATAAAAGCCTGGCTGAGCTGACGCCTCCTTTCCAGGGCCACAACGTCCTTGTCCCAAAGCAAAGATTGCCGCCCTTTTAAAAGCTGAGGCAGGCTCAGCCCCTCCCATCCTGTGGAGTTCCGTGGACTCCGGTTGGCTGACAATCCCTTGGATTTGCATGAGGCTTAAATGGCAAGGATTGGGTGAGAGCCCTGGAGGAGAGGCGGGACTCTTAAGGATGATTACCACAAGGGTCAAAGTGGGGAGCCGTGTTTGTCTGAAGCAATAGAACAAAGAGTCCAGTGATAAAAGTAAAACAAATTGGGCTTGGAAGCATGAAATACATGAAATATTACCAAAAATCTTAAAAAGTAATATAAAAAAACAAGTCTTATCTTATTTTACATGTAGTTACAACTGCTAGAATATTGTATACTAAATATTGGAGAAGAAAGGAGATACCTTCAAAAGAAGAAATAATAAACAAACTATAGTTTTAAAATTTAATTTAATTAACATTCTGCCGTATAATTAATGTACTAATCTCAAGATTGCAAGAAGAAGAAGAGATTGGATTTATACCCTGCCCTTCACTACCCAAAGGTGTCTCAGAGCAGCTTACAAACTCCTTTCCCTTCCCCTCCCCACAACAGACACCCGGTGAGGTAAAAGAAGAAGAAGAAGAGGAGGAGGAGGAGATTGGATTTATACCCGGCCCTTCACTACCCAAAGGTGTCTCAGAGCGGCTTACAAACTCCCTTCCCTTCCCCTCCCCACAACAGACACCCTGTGAGGTAAAAGAAGAAGAAGAGATTGGATTTATACCCCACCCTTCACTCGGTGTCTCAGAGCGGTTTACAAACTCCTTTCCCTTCCCCTTCCCACAACAGACACCCTGTAAGGTAGGCGGGGCTGAGAGAGCTCTGACACAGACTGCTCTTTATTCAAGAACACCTCCGACAGAACTACGGCTTGCCCAAGGTCATCCAGGAGCTGCAAGTGGAGGAGGAGCGGGGAATCAAACCCTGCTCTCCCAGATGAGAGTCCGCGCACTTAACCACTACACCAAACTGGCTCTCCCTTCCACAGACTGGTCACAGTAATTTCTCAGATGAAGCTCTTTTGAGAAACGGGAGAAAGAAGGTCGACATGCCCCATCACAACAGAACATTAATCACACATCTGTGCCTCCTAAAAACAGAACGTTAATTATACTGTGGTGCCTTCTATCAGGCAGCGAGGGAGTTAAAATGTTGGACTTTTTTTGGACTTGTGTGCCTAGGCACAAGATATTGGACTGTATATATATATATATAGTGTCTTTAAACCTATGTTGCCTTTGTGTTTCCATCTTTTGAGACTGTGTCTCATTGTAATGTTTTTGTATGAAGAAAACTATGGAGAAAGATATATCTTTGAATAGTAATTCATGTTTTGTACAGCACTTGGATTGGGTCCTTTATAGTGAGCTGTCGTAGGGGCTTGTCTATTTGTGGTTGTATCCTCCAGGTGGGGTCTGGAGATCTCCTGGAATGACAACTCATCTCCAGGCTACAGACCTCAGTTAAAGGTAAAGGTGAAGGTTCCCTTGCTCGAAAGCCAGTCGAGTCCGACTCTAGGGTTGTGGTGCTCATCTCCGTTTCAAAGCCGAAGAGCCAGCGCTGTCCAAAGACGTTTCCGTGGTCATGTGGCCGGCATGACTAAACAACAAGGCGCACGGAACGCTGTTACCTTCCCACCGAAGTGATACCTATTTATCTACTTGCTATGTCTTGCTTTCCAACTGCTAGGTTGGCAGGAGCTGGAACTAGAGACGGGAACTCACTCCGTCATGCGGCACACTTGGGTCTCGAACTGCTGAGCTAACGACCTTCCACAGCCTGCAGTTCAGCGTCTTAACCACTTGAGCTGCCACAGCTCCTACAGACCTCAGTTACCCTGGAGAAAATGGCTGCTTCAGATGGTGAATTCCTACGTCATTATACCCAGCTGAGGTCCTTCCCCTCCCCAAATTCTGCCCTCCTCAGGTTCCAACCCCCAAACTCCAGAAATTTCCCACCCTGAATCCTCTGGATCACAGTGTAGATGCAGCTTCCCTCTCACTTTCCTTCTTAGCTCTAAGCAGAATTTTCTGTGATGTCTGAATCAGAAAACAAGGCCCAGGACTTGCCATCAAGAGTCCAAAGGCCACTTTAAAGTATGGGGTGAATGGATTTCTTCAATCATCATCCTTATACTAATACCGAAGTAGCCCCCTCTGTGCGGATATCTAAATCAGCCCAGAGGGGGCACTTGGGGGGCAGGGGGAGGTTTAAGCACACGTGGGGCAGTCCCCACGTGTGCACAAAAATCTGAACCCCCGCCAAAAATATCGGGGGGCTATTTAAATCCCCCAAAACCAACAGAGCTTTTCCTGCGCATGCGCAGGAAACGCTCTGCAGCCGCCCCGGCCTCAGAGCCAGCCGGCCAGCCAGGCGGACGGGAGAACAGCGAGGCCCGGGTGGCTGCAGCCTCCCGGGCCTGGTTCGGAGCTGGACGGGGGGGGAACACCCTCTCCAAAAGACACCCCCGCAACCGCCCCTCGCCTGTTTCCCGGCCCCGTGGCAGAGAATAGGTGATCGGCGCGTCGGCGGCGTCAGGCTGGGCCGGGCGCTCAGCGCAGGAGGCGTTGGCGGCGCGGCAGGAGGAGGAGGTCCCGGAGAGAAGCGAGTGGGGGGGGAGGCAGCGAGGCGAGGGCAGGCAGGCAAACAGGCAGGGTGGGCGGGCGGGCGGGGGGAAGATCGGCCTCGGAGCCGGCGGGCGGGCGCTCCCCCGGTCAAAGTATGCTAAACTAGGATTGCACACACCCCTTCCCCCTTGCAGAGCGCGCAATTCCTTCCCTCGCCCTGGAATATGCATTCCCCGGCGCTTCTGCAGGGCGCCCTTGAGGCAGGCCCGGCCTCCC